GTAAATCCCACCCCTTCCTCATGATGGAAAAAAAAAAAAGTTATGATGGTCCTAACATAACGCTGTCAATCATAGTTATTTTCCTAAAATGCTATACAAAATGAAAGTAAATGCGCAGTTTGGTCAATTGCCAAGCTTTCTGCAAAATTCCAAAATGGCTATTCTGAATCTTGCTAGTCAAATAAATGATTTGATCCCGTTGTAACTTATTTATTTAGGTGTGTGTGTGTGTGTGTGTGTGTGTGTGTGTGTGTGTGTGTGTGTGTAAAGTCAACTTTGTGGAGTCAGTTCTCTCCTTCCACCTCTATGTGGGTCCCAGACATCCAGTGCAAGTTGCTTCCTGGCCATCTCGCTAGCTCATTCATCTACCCAGTGTGGTGGTGCTCACCTTTAAACCCTTGGCAGGCTAGCTTGGTCTACATAATAATATCCGGGCCAGCCAGAGCTCCACAGTGAGACCCTATCTCAAAAAAAAAAAAATTTTTTTTTTAATATCCAGGTGGTGGTAGACTAAACGTTTAGTCCCAGCATTCAGGAGGCAAAGGCAGGCAGATCTCCTTGAGTTCAAGACCAGCCTGGTCCACAGAGTGAGTTCCAGGAAAGCCAGCGCTACACAGTGAGACCCTGTCTTGAAAAACCAAAAAAATAAAAAATTAAAAATAACAATAATTAATAATAATAATAATAATAATAATAATAATAATAATAATGTTATTGTTAGGTTTCAAACCCAGTACAGATGGCTGAGGTGTCCATGAACATATCAAAGCAGATGCCAGTTCTCCCAACATCCCTCAGTCCCTACTGTTACAGGGGATGGCTGGCACACCCTGCCTGCTACCCTAAACTTCTGCAGCCCAGAAGTTGGGCTTCCCTTCTGCCAGCTGCCCTTGTCTATATAATCCAGCCATTTTGCTTACCTGGCCTAGTTTGGTCTCTCCTTTACTCTTTTGGCCAGCCCGTTGGTCCAGGCTGTTCCTCTGGGTCAGGGGCTCCTTTCCTCTCCCTCCTCCCCCTCTCCTCATGTGGTCCGGCTCAGGCTGGTCAAGTTTACTCTGGACTCTCCTGGATGTCTCTGCTTCTGACTGTGTTCTCCCTGTTTCCTACCTTAACCTTGTCCTCTGGCATACTTAGGAGCAGTCGTGTCCTCTTTTTATTTTTTTATTCATCTATGATCAAACTCATAAAATGACTCTAACAAGTAGTAATTTTTCAGTCTAGCGTTTCTGTTGTTTTGTTTTGAGGCATTTCTTGCTATGTAACCCTGACTGGCCTGGGATTTGCTGTGTAATTCATGCTGGCCTCAAACTCCTGATGGCTCTGCCCAAGCCTCCCGATTATTGGAGTTACAGGAGTGTGCTGCTATGCCTGGTACAAAGCTGCATTCTTTAAAAAAACGTAAGCTGGTGAGATGGCTCAGTGGGTAAAGATGCTTGCTGCCAAATCTGAAAATCTGGGTCCCCAGATCCCACATGGTAGAAGAAGAGAACTCTTGAAAGTTGTCCTCTGATCTCTACACATTCACCATAGTACACAAGCCAATGTACACACACACACACACACACACACACACACACACACACACACACGAGTAAATAAAATGGATACTTTTCTGAGAGAGAGTTTCACTATGTAGCCCTGGCCAGCCTAGAACTCATGCTGTAACATATCATTTTGGCTGTTTCTGTAACACTGGGAATCGAGCCCAGGACTGTGTACATGTTTGGCCCATGCTCCACCACTCACCTGTGTCTCTCTCATCTCAGATCTTAACCAGCCTAACAAATCACCATATGTACATTTCCTGGCTTTCGCCTCACCTTTCCTACAAACTTACACTCTATCGTCTTTCCTGTAACCCTGTGCTAGGGCTACATGATGGAGCAAAACTAGGGCTCACTCTCTGTTTTGGTTAAATTACAAATAAATCAACCTCTCTTTAAAAGTTTGCTTTTTCATTTCTTTTAAGGTGCACTGGGTTTTTATACCTAGGTGCATTTCTATAGTAATATGTAGCAGGAAATAATGATGAAAATTAATTGAGACCATCCCAGCACTAGAAGTTAGGATCTGTAGACAAGGACATTAAAACAATGATTGCAACTACATTATATATGGCCAAAAATTAAGCAAACACCTGGAAGATATAAAAGATGCCAAACTTCTAGAGCTATGTGAAATTAAAAATATCCCAGAGACTGGAGGGATGACTTGGAGGTTAAGAGCACTGGTTGCTCTTTCAGAGGACCTGGGTTCAATTCCCAGAAACCACGAGGTGGACATAACTTCTGTGATAACGGCCTCTGTGGGCCCCAGGCATGTGTATGGCTCTCACATGTACACTCAAACATGCACTCATACACATAAAATAAAAATAAATAAACCTTCAAGATAAAATCATGAAAGGTTATGCCCACATTCAGAGTGTGTCACCTCAATCGACTCATTCTGGAAATTCTTTCACAGACCAACTCATTGGTTGGTCTTCTCAACGATCCTCAGTCCTGTCCACCTGAAAAATCAATATAAATCATCATGCCCCTGGAGAGTTCACAATTGCACCAATAGCTGCTGAGCTCCCAAAGAGGCAGGCACTAGACAGTATATACAGTTTGAATGTCCCCATCAGAATTCCAGCTAAAGTTTAACAGGTTTTACAATTCTGTTTTTGTTTTATTCATGTGAATGTTTTATCCACATAACACCTCTATCGGGCATGATCCCATTTGTTTGATTTTGAACTTATTTTGAGCTATATAATCAGGGCATTTTGTTGTCTGTTTGGGTTTTGGTGTTTTGAGGCAGGGTCTCATTTGCCTGGCTTCAAACTTCTGGCAGTCTCCCAGCCTGTGTCCAGGGTGTGGCCAGTGCCATTTTACCGTAGTTAGTGGTGTTTGTTTGTTTGTTTGTTTGTTTGTTTTCAGACAGGGTTTTTCTGTGTAGCCTTAGCTGTCCTGGACTCAGTAGACCAGGCTAGCCTTGAACTCACCTCGCTCCACCTACCTCTGCCTCCCTGAGTGCTGGGATTAAACGCATGCACCACCACCACACCCGGTTCTATTTGGTGTTTGATAGTTTGATAAGCAGCTTGTAAAGCCCTTCTCTAAAATAAATTCAAAATATTGATAAAGCCCTTCAAGTAACCACGTGCCTTCTTCTTCACGTCTTTGTCATTGTGAATGTTCTGTCAGTTCACAACTTATACACTGGTTGCTAAACAAACAGTAAGCATACAACTCAAACGTTTTCTGCATATGGGTTTTGTGTGGCCAGGACAACCCACAGCACTCCCACCCTGCTGCTGCTCCCTGCGAGCCCTCTGAGTCAGCCCCTCACTTGTACCACGCCACATTCCTGTCTGCAGTGTATGAGACTCGTGCTCTTCCCGAGCTCTTGTTATATTGTCTGGTCTGGGTTTTGCTTGTTTGTTTTTTTTTTGTGATAACCATTTTGGTGGGTGTAAAATGGCATCCCCATAAGTGATTATTTTGTGTGTGTGTGTGTGTGTGTGTGTGTGTGTGTGTGTGTTTTATTTATGACTAAGAATGTACTTACTGGCCAGCCTTGCATCTCTTTTGGTGAATTGTCTTTTAGAATCCTTTGTATGTTTTTTAATTGGGTTGCCTGTCATGTTGTCACGAGCTATAATGTGTTCCGTGTATAGTTCTTCACCATACTTGTTATTTGTAAAAACTGAAGCCTGTCATTTTCTTTTAACTTTCAGTGGATGTGTGTTTTGCTAGCATGTATGTCTGTGTACCTTGTGCATGCATAGTACACACAGAGGCCATAAGAGAACTTCGGAGTCCCTGAGACTAAAGTTATAGACAGATGTGAGCCATCCTGTGGGTACTGGCAGTTGAATCCCAGCAGACAGGAAGAACAGATATTGCTATTAACTGATGAGTCATATTTTCAGCCCCACCTGTCATTTTCTTATTGGTGACAGATGTGTGTGCGTGCGTGCGTGTGTGTGTGTGTGTGTGTGTGTGTGCGCGTGTGTGTGTGTGTGCGCGCGCATGGCTGACGCCTGTGGGTGTGCACATATGTGTGAATGTGGAGGTGATAAGTCAGTCTCAGGGATGTTAGCCAGCCCTGCGTGTGTGGAGGAGTATGGTATGTGTGCATGTATGTGCAGGCATGCCCATCTGTGCGCACACTTGCAGAGGGCATTGCTTGTTCTGCTAGGTCTCTGCTTTATTTCTTTAAGATAGGGTTGCCCCCGCCCCCGACCCAATGAGAGGCTGCTGGCCTGCAAGCCCCAGCAACCCTCCTGTCTCCATCCCTCACAGCACTGGGACTGCAGAGGGTCAAGTCTGACCTTTTTTTTTTGATGATGATTGCTTTTCATGTTTCATGTGCATTAGTGTTTTTCTTGCATGTATGTCTGTGTGAAGGTATCAGATGCTGTGGAACTGGAGTAGAGACAGTTGTGAGCTGCCATGTGGGTACTGGTAATTGAACCAGGGTCCTCTTAACTCTGAGCCATCACTCCAGCCCTCTAAGTCTGGCTTTTTATGTGGTGCTGGGCTATGAACTCATGGCAAGCACTTAACCAGTAGAGCTACCTCTCCAGCCTTATTTACTTATTTATTGTGCTGCTGGGTCTGATTGAACCCAGGGCTTTGTCTCTCCTAGACCAGTGCTCTAACTCAAACCATAGAGGCAGGCTCATCTCTGTGAGTCTGAGGTCAGCCTGGTCTATGAAGGGAGATCCAGGACAGCCAGGGCTACACAGAGAAACCCTGTCTCAAAAAAACAAAAGACAAAAACAAAGAAAGAAAATGTTCTCATAGAAAGTTTTGTATTTTTTTTTTAATAAAGAAAATGTTAACATAGAAAGTGATAAATTTTTTTTTTTTTTTTTTTTTTTTTTTTTTTTTTTTGCATGGTGGAGATTAGCTTCAGGATCTCATTAAGTATATGCTCTGCCAGTGAGCTACATCTCCGGCAGTAAAGATTTTATGTGATCATTTATGGTATGATGTAAAATCATCTTGGTCATACCCATTTTTGTACAATTCCTTTAAAGATAATTAAGCCAGGCCGTGGTGGTGCACGCCTTTAATCCCAGCACCCAGCACGCAGAGGCAGGTGAAGCTCTGTGAGTTCAAGACCAGCCTGGTCTAAAGAGGGGGTTAGCCAGGGCTACACAGAGAAACCCTACCTTGAAGTGGGGGAAATAACTAATGGCTTATCTGGGCAGAGTAAAAGGACCTTGGACTCGGTCTGGCTGGATTCCAGCCCTGCTATGACTGTCAGCAGCTGATCATCTCAGCCATGTGACCTCTCTGGGACACAGCTGCTGTACCCTTGACCCTGCCCTGTTCAGTGCCTTCTGGTTTCATCTTTTCCATGGGCCTAAGAGGTAGTAAGACACTACCACTAACCCTGCTTCACAGAAGAACACGCAGCCTGAATGCAGCTGACTGGACCAGTTGACCCTGTGGGACCTGTCTCTTCTCCATTCAAGCCTAGAGAGTCCTCTAGGACTGAGCAGAAGGTCTCGTTGTTTGCATATTTCTCATTGCAGGCTGTGCCACCCAAGGAGAAGCCTGTGTGAATCAGTATGAGTGCTAAGATTCCAGGGAGTGTTTCTGTCTGACGCCTTCTTGGTTTACACAGAGTGACCTGGATACTTGTTGCTTGATCCTATCTTTGCCTGAAGAATTTTTAGGTGTGACTTTACTGTATTCTTCGTTGCCTCTTCCTCCTCCTTCTCTTTTCCTTTGAAATGCAGATTCTGGTTTAGGCCTGACGTCTCCAGTGAGCACTCTAGGAAAAGAAAATATTCTGGTCTGCAGTTTACAGAGGTGAGCCCCTGGAGGGTTCATGGGCTGAGGACAAAGTTAGATCTGAAAGCAAGAGAAGAGGGGCTGAATGCCAGGATTCCCACCTCCAGCATTTCATTATGAAAACATTTAAACCCACTGTATATAGTGGAAGAACTGAACGGTAAATGCCTACTGACCTGCCTCTTAGAGGCTATAATTATTAACGATTGCTGTTTGCTCTGTCACACATTGCTTTATTGACCTCTCCTTGTCTCTACTCGTTCATCCCAATTTTTTTTTTTTTCACAATTTCAGAGTTCACACTACCTCTAAGTACATTAGTATGACCATCATTAACAAGCATTTAGCATTTGGGTTTGCTTATGTGAAAGAAAACACATAGGCAGCCATCACTTTAGACTTTACTAGGTCTAACGGGACAAACCCAAACATACGGACTCTTCCTAAATTTCCAGTCTCTGTCTTAATGTTTACAAGGAACGTAACCTTGAAGTGACCAGCCTGCCGTCTGTTCTGTTTCTACTTCATCTAGCTGCCAGTGACATGGCTAACAAGTAAGAGCACCTACTGGGCAAGCCTGATGACCTGAGTTTGATCCTGGAAACCGGAGTAAAAGGTTGGATGTGACGGTGCACCTCTGTAATCCAGCCTCCTATGGTGAGACAGGAGGCGGGGACAGGAGGAGAATCCCTGGAACCTTGGGCCGGCTAGCTGGGGGTTTGCAGCATCTGAGAAACAAAAAGAGGGACCCTGCCACCGCAGCATAGAAGGAGAGAACAGACTCCTGGATGCTACCCTCTGACTTCTTTACATGTTAGGGTTACACATATATACTTGTCCTCACACGTCATTCTCTCTCTCTTTCACACACACACACACACAACATATGTATACATATGTACATAATAATAGTGAAGAAAAACAATGTTAAAGAAAAGATAAACGTGATTACACAGGCAAGACTGATTTTCTCATTGGCCTTTGTTGGTCAGATAACACTTCTCAGAGGCTGGGGGCTGGGGATGAAAGCCCCAATCTTCTAACCTTGGTTTGTTTTTCCCAGTGACAGCCCCATCCCAGAGCTATCTAGGCGAATCCAGCCATCAGTCATTCAACACACAAAAAGACAGTTCTCACTTGGGAGCGTTTGAGGACTTTTAGGAACTGCAAGCTAAAAATCGGGACACATACCTATCTATCTATCTATCTATCTATCTATCTATCTATCTATCTATCTA